TATATAGTAAAGAGTTAATACTAAACAATAATGATAATGAATAAAACCCTTTCAATACCTTAAACATAAGCATTATGCGAATGATATCAGATATATTCCCCAGCTGTAATGGTGTATCAGGAATTGTGAATCCTTCGTACTGATCAACAAAATAAATTCCATCCACGTAATGCATTGAATAAAGAAGGAACTCCTTTTCTGTATTATAAAATTATATTGAGATTAATAAACATTATATAAGAAATTAATAAGCCGAATTACTACATACTATACACAAGTAATCCGAAAGTTTCCAACTCCTCGATACCTGGCACATTTTCGGGCAATAGTTTCAAAAGTTTTGGAAGGGCTAACCGCATGGCTATAAATCGAATAGTTCTTTTAGAAATTTTTACAATAAAAATAGAAAAATTAAAGTTACGCTTTCACCTTTGAGTATTTTCTCTCAGTCCTCGTTCAACTTTTTGTCATCTTGTTTAAACGCGTTCCCGATTACCTCACCAAATGCTATTTGAAAATCCTTATTCCCGGCTTTCATAGTTAAAATGGCGTCATGATGCCAGCTACCTACACACGATTTACGTTTATCTACATCCCTTGCGAGGTCCAATTGGGTTTTCCTATCAATATTTTCAACTTCACCTCTGGTTGAATTCGATATATACGTAAATATATAAACCTTATTTTAAAAAAATGACAATCAAAATGGAATAATTACGTTTTCATCCGGATTATACTGTTTACGTCCAAAAAAATCTCCTCCCAAAGTTGATTTACGATCCAACTTCTGTATGCATACTCAGACGCGTCAGCGTCATTAAGGGGGTTGAATGGCGTCTGGAAACATTTTAAGCTACCAATTATAGGTATAGTATAAGTCTGTCTTTAATTGCACAGTAAATAATTATGAAATATGTTCTATATAACCTACAAGGTGGTGTAAATTTGTTGTATCCACTGAATAGACCAGTCTCTAGCGAATAAATATGAGTGCTGACCCACAAATGGCGGTTCACTTATGGTAATCCAAACCTTCTGCAAATCTACATAGTATCCGGTTGTGGCGTCTATGATAGCTTTATTATATTTTTCTAAAAGTGATTCCAGGTTTTCCGCAATTGGAGGAAGTGAACTTACTATCTTCTTTTCTATCTAGAATCGATATATTTCCATATCAATAAGTGAAATAAAACCAAGTGAAATAAAACCAGGAAAAAAAAAATAAAAGCGTAACCTTTTCCCAAGTCGATTCCATCATCAACCATTCTTTATTAACATACAGGCGCCTTATCGGATCATATAAATTGCGTTCTGGTAGGAATATGATCCGGTATCTTGCAATACTGCTTTTGCTGTTAATGAGCCTCTCCATAATCGTACCTTTTGAAGTCTGTGATACAGAAAAGCATTTTGAATAATGAACAGTAATTAAGTGTAAAAAGACAAAATTTTCAAACCTCATCTGGTGGTAGTTCTTGTTCTTGTGAAGGCGAGTCTTTCACATCACTGCAATCCAGCGAATCCGCATTAACTTTACTCTTTTCTTGTGAAAGCGTGAGTGGGGTCACAGCGCGAGCATAGAAATATTGATCGATTTTCGTCCGCTTTGAACCTTTGTCATTGTCCTAATATTAAGATTGTAATTCATTAACAACAAACGCAAATTAATAGTTCTAGTTAAAAAGCTACGCATCGTTACCTCTTTCTGATTGCTTCTCTTTGGCGCAAGCTTTACATCGAACACCCCTCCACTCATAGTCCCATATACACCATTTGTTATCCCTTGCACTGTCCCGTTTATAGTCGAACGATGAATATGAATCCGCGAATACGAATGCATCTTTTCCCATTCCTTCGCTCTTTTTTTGTCGGGTCGATTACCCTAAAATGATAAATTTAGGGAATTAGTAGTATCCTTAACTAACATGATTTCATTCCATAATGCTTATGTTTAAGGTATTGAAAGGGTTTTATTCATTATCATTATTGTTTAGTATTAACTCTTTACTATATA